GAAGAAAAAAAATCCACAAAGACAGAAAGAGAGAAAAGAAAGAAAAACAAGAAAAATGGAAAGAGTTCGAAAGAAAACTATGGTAGGAACCACGAGCAAAGTTCAGTATAATATAAATGACAAGTTGAGGTGCAATGAGTACGTTGAAGAGGTAAATTATAACTGAAAGAGCCCTGAAGTTACACACTAATGAAATATAACAGCGCAAGATAATCCACGGGGTGCTTTTTTTTTTTTTTTCTTTAATTACAGACTTCACCTCCATTATCTGATGCAGCGATCGCATTCTCCTCTCGCCGTATTTGCTTTGTGCTTATCTGACACAGCCGCTCCTGCTGCACAGCGTGACGGGCAGAGCAAAAAAAAAACCACTGCCAAGGTTGTGGCTTCGATTACAAGTGGGACCACCTATGCTAAAAATGCCGTACAGTAAAAGGCAAGCCCGGGTAGAAAACATCCAAGAAATAAACCAAGCTATGCTGAAAGAATAAGCTGCTGAGCGTTTTCCCTGCCAAGACAACACAAGAGGAAATTTACTCAGCCATAACAACCTCAATGCAAGGTCAGACTTGTGCTCCACACCGAGGGCTGAGATTCATTTGAATGTCTTTGGCAGAGAGGGGGAAGCTGGATGGAGTGGCGCTCCACTATATTCAAACCGTGGAGAGTTCAACGACATCGAGCAATGTTATGATGACCCCTCGTAATTGCACACTACAAGAAGTGATGTTTTGAAAGAAAATACGCTTCAAACTTAACTTGTCTGTGGCGAGACCAATAAAATGGAGCTGCAGCGTGTGTTTTTCTCCGTGTGTGCTTTGGCACAGCTCACGCGATGGAATCAATCAGCGCATGCGATAACGGAAGGTGCAGAGAGGAGCAGCTCAACATGCGTGCAAAGAGGAGCGCGACGGCTGGCACACGTGTTTTTCGAGCTTTGTGTGCATGCGTGCGTGCATGTGTGTGTGTGTTTACTTCCTTTGTAATGATAGACCTCAGTCTCTCACCAGGCGGCCAGGCTACTCCTCTAAACCTCAGGGTCTCTGCCAACCCCCAGAGCCCAGAGAATATGGCCTGCAGCTGGGCCACAGAGAGCGCCGGAGCTCCTGGTAGCTACCGAAGCCTCCATAATTAATGCCAGGCAGCTTTCAGTCTCGTCTTCGTATCAAGCGACTTTCTGCGCATGCATTAGTTGAAGCGTGCAGGTAGTAGAGCAGAACAGACAGTGTAGTGTTTACTTCAGACAAATCCTCACAAGTAGAGGAGCTTCACTTGTGGAGAGTCCGTGAATGCGATCTAACAGGATGATATCTCCATCTAGAGGTCGATTTAGAGAACATCAGTCCTCCTTTGTTCGAAAGTTTAAGACCCTCACAAGCAGGCTGAACAGTGGTGGAAGAAGAATTTAGATTCTTTGCTTGAGTTGAAGCAGAAATACGACGTAAATATCTTATTGAGTACAAGTCCTACACTAAAAATGCTAATTAAGTGCATTAATATGTCATTATCATGTGTGATGTTGCTTATTACATCTCCATATTTGCCTTCATTACTTTTTTCTGGTCTTTATGTAGCCTTGTTTTAGCTTCTGTATTTTTTCAGTAATATATCTTGCTTTTCTACTTTTTAGGCACTCCATTTCTTTTGTAATGAGCAACATCTGGTCCAATAAATTCATTTGGGATTCATAAAGTTTTCTTTTATCTTATTTGGTCTTATCTTAAGTAAAACTACTAACAGTAGATTTTTACTACTGATGCTTTAACATGTAAGCAGCATTGTACTTCTACAGCTGGTGGAAGCTGAGATATTTTTACTACTTTACATGCAGCTCGACAGTTTCATTTTTAAGAGTTGTTGTGGAGAAACTTTAAAACATAACCCACTGACAGCCTGCTTGGTAAACATATCTATTCTAATAGTAAGAAAGGCAGAATTTTCTAACATCTCTCTTCAACAGAAGCACAAGAGTGACAGCTTATTTATAATACTACAAAATTCTCTTCCCATTTGGCTGTGACAATATCAGACACTATTTATTTTTCAGACTGGTATCCTATTCATCATAAGGTCTCTAGTTGTGACCCTACTTCTGTAACACATATCACATTACTGAAGACAGTGATCAGCTTTAACCAGAAAATATGCAATAAAACGCATTAACACATTTATAAATGTATATTAAATACAAATAAATGATCCGATCCAACTCTTCAACCAGAAAGCCTACTTTAACGGTTCAGTTTTTTGTCGACACAGTCACAGAAGTGTTAATTCAACTCTGAATTTACAGTTCTTGGCAGCGTTGTGTTCAGTAATCTGCTGCCCTCATGTATGTAAACTTGCCAGAAACTGCAGTGTAATGTATTTCAGTTCAACATCACCTCCAACTATGACCTCAGCAGCCGACTTTTACAAACTTGTCTCTATGAGCTTTGCCAAATCAGATGTTGCAGCAGTGCTGATGTGTTGGACTGTACTGGTGCACCTAATAATGTATGTTTTCTATGCAAAACTCCCTTTGAGTTTGTTTCTGCAGTATGACATTTAAATAGAGCGAAAATCTTGAGCTGAGGTTCAGGAGCAGGACCACACCTCCATCCTCCATCACTCCCCTTCCTGCCCTACATCCACACACAGCACTCCGCCTTCATTCTTCCTTCTCGCTTCTCCTGCACGGAGCAACACACGATGCTCATCTGGAAGCTTTAGAAAACTCTGACTTACCAGGGACCGCTCATCCATCAACCCGGCTCCAGATCTCCTCCACGCCGATCAGCCTGATCCACATCGAGGCCCAGGAGACGAGGAACCTGCGTCGCTCCATAAACGTCCTGAAGAGAAGACTCCAACCGGGACTCTTCTCCCCATCCTCCAGCCGCATCAGACTCCTCATTCGATCCCAGCTACAACCAAGGAGGCTCTTCTCAGGTAAGAATCAGGTAATTACCCCCTCCTGAACTTCCACTCACTCCGAAGCAGACAAGCGTCCAGAGAAGCCGCATCCGGAAAGGATCGGCGCGCTGCTAAACTCCCGACAGATCCTCCAGTGATGTTCCTCCACACCGCCGGACCGTCGTGGGTCTTCAGAAAGCATTAAGAGGAAAAAGACTACCTGTCAGCAAAGTTAAACTATTCAAACTTTTGACAAACTCCTGGAGTTTAGATCACGTGACAACAAAAGAGGGACCTTCATTGTCATTACCAGGCTCTCTGTAGCTCCACCTGGGTTGCCAGGTGTGATTCATCTGTCCACCAGCAGTCTACCCTACTGCAGCCTGTTCCCATCTCCAGCACTACAGCCACCTCTGGCCATGGGATACCAACTCACCTATCCTAAATGGTCTGCGCTTACAGCGCGCCTTTCCACCTTTGTGGTGCTCAAAGCGCTTTACAATGTTTTCTCATTCACCCATTCACACTCACATTCGTACATGACAGAGCTGCCATGCAAGGTGCTGCCTGCCATTGGGAGCAACTTTGGGTTCAGTGTCTTGCCCAAGGACACTTCGACCGAGGAGGGGTGGGGCCACAGGTCTCCCAACAGTCTTTTCCCTTCATCATTCTGTCACCAGGATGCCTGTTTGACTCACCTCTATCCCCTGCTTAAACGATTTCTGCTCATTCTGTCACTGGGAGGCCAGTTTCACTAGCCTCATTATACCTCTTTAACAGATACACTTTTGGCACTGGGACACCAGTTCCTTCCACAGTCATACCCCCCATCAACCTTCTATTTAAATTTCCAGCAAAAGGTGCCAGTAGTACATACCTCCATTGGCCACACCAACAAGTCACTCAAGAGGCATCAGAATCAGGCATCCAAACCCCCTCAAGAGGCTCCCCTTGAGAAGCAACAGCTCTACTGCAAGCTCCTTTGGGATGGCAAGCTCTTCACCCTGTCACAAAGGCCATGCTCAGCCAACTCACAAAGGAAACTCATTTCAGCCACTTGTGCCCACAATTTAGTTCTTCCATCACCATCTAGACCCCATGACCATAGGTTAGGTTTTGAAAATTTGTCTCGATGACTTCCAGGAGGTTATAGTAATCTGGAGTATAACGAGAGCAAGCTCTTCCGAGGCACTGGCTGGTTAGGTTTTGAAAATTTGTCTCGATGACTTCCAGGGTTAGGACTATAGATGAGCTAATCAATTGAAAGCTTTGCCTTCTGACCCAGCTCCCTCCTCATCACAATGGTCCAGTGCAATGCCAGCATTACTGCTAATGCTGCACCAAGTCACTCCCTCTGTAATAGATTCTGCTCCTTCTTCCATTATTCAATTTAGCTACATTATCCAGCTCCATCTGGGACTCAAAATTCCCATAATACCTCTGCAGCATAATTTATTAATCATGGTAATTTTCCACTGACATCTATCTGCCTGCTGCAGAGGTGGTTCAGTGGTTAGCACCGTTGCCTCGCAGCAAGAGGGTCACAGGTCCACGTCATGGTGGGGACACCAGGATCTTTCTGCATGGAGTTTGCATGTTCTCCCCGAGCAGCGTTGGTTCTCTGGTTTCTTCCCACACGGTCCAAAAACATGTTGAGGTTTATCGATGATTCTAAATTGTCTGTTGGTGTGAATGTGAGTGTGCTTGGTTGTCTGTCTCTAAGTGTAGCCCTGTGATAGACTGGTGACCTGTCCAGGGTGTCCCCTATCTTCGCCCTAAGGCATCAACATGTTCCAACGGTCCACGTTCCAGCCTCTAGCCGGCACTCTCAAATCAACGTTTCTATTAGCCTTCCTTTGTTCCTGTGACGCACAGAGTCCATTATTACATTGAAAGACAAGTCGAGTTTCATCTGCACTGCCATCCTACGGAACCTTTTCCACATCCTGTATTCAACCGCCCTGCATCTCAGAAATATTTCCTTTATTTCAGAAGAGTTCACAACACAAAATACTTCCAAGCTTTTAGTCTTCCTTGGTAACAGTAGTTGTAAATGTTTGGGGTAAAGTACCGTACTGCAAATAAATCATGACAGACAAATGAAAATATATCAAATATAATTTATTGTTTTTGTCTTAATACGAGCATCAAAACACAAAGAATTCAAGTTAAATGAAAATTCTGTGAATTTGCTCTAAACTTAGATTTTCGTGGAGGATAATTGCTGATAAATGGTGACAAGAGCCAGCAAATGGTGCAGAGAAATTAAACCCATGTGAGTAAATCAGCTTTCAGTATGTAACAAATGGGAAGAAAAATAAAAATTCTTACAGTTTCTTTGCTATTGCATGATTTTAAAATCAGCAGGCAGTTCGGTGCATAGATAATATGGTTACATGTACAGTACCTTCTGGAAAGTTGAAAACTAGATTCAAATGTGTGCAAACTCAACCCTGCTAGTTTCAGTACATTAAGCTAAATAATAAAGAAGTTATTACATGTGAAATGAAAAAAATAGCAGCAATAAGAGGCAGGAAACTGCCTGATGAAGACCTTTTAACAATTAAATTCTTGCTACATAAACATGCATCTGCTGATACATTTTATTAGGAGTGACATCAGAGTTCATGTGCTGGGGTTTCCAGGAATGTTTTTAAAGGAGTATTTGCAGAGATGTGTGTCACAGGCAGGTCAAAGATTCCTCAGTGGACAGGACGTCCCTGTCAGGACTTTCTCCCGTTCACGTCACCCACTGACCCGAACTGATCACCGGAGTTGTGGCTGAGCAGCAGATACGGCAACAGCCGGAGGGAAAAACTCGCTCTTTACTGCTTGTCCTTGCCTGATACAGAGACAGAGAACAAACACACTTAGTGCTGCTTTCCAAGGATGTCAGGAAAATGCTGATTCACAGTCACAGAAAGACTCTAAATCTGTCTAATCACACAAAAATAGACTCATTTGTAGTGCAGTAGTACTGATTAGCAAATAAACAATAGAAAAATGTTCTATTTTTATAGAGCACTTCACACACAGAACAAAATGCAGTGACCTGAAGGACTAATGGTACAGTGCAATGGAGATGAATGGAAGTTCATTTGTGCTCGAGGCAAGGGAAGAAAAAAAAAAACAACAACATGCCACCCTTAAAAAAAAACCACAGTCCCTCTCTGGAAACAAAGCCCCACTTACTTGAGGGAACCAACAGGCCCTCGCTGTGGACACTTCTCATTATTTTCTACTTTTAGCACAAACAGTTACCAATTAAAACTGTTGACATCGAGGCCTGTGGGTTGTCCTGAGCAAACTGCAGCATTGTGTGCAGAGAGGCGGCTTTTTTATGATTTGGATGAAGTGATGCTGTTGTCCTGCATGTCTGGGATTTTAAATTTAACTGTTGTGAAGCAACAGCGAACCCACAGAGCCTAATTTGTACATGCGGTTATCCTACCTTTGCTGGGGACAAACTTGAGCGAGTGGCTGAATATTCAAAAACGTGACACTCCCTCCTCTGGACCATCATTCACAAACTCATGGCCCAGTCCGTTGCCACATTTTCCACACAGGACCTGGAGACGCACAACACCAGAAAACTTCTTGTTGTAGCCCACAAATGCTTCAATAACATGGCAATACATGAAGAATTATTGATTTTTTAAAAAGTAATTTCAGTCGTAGTAGTTGCATGCATACTAGTTGTGAGTCCGACCTTGTAGGCGGTGAGCGTCTCCATCATCTTGGTGACGCTGTCCTCTCTGATGGTGTCTGTGAACGCCGGCCAGGGAGACGAGTGAGCAAACTTGGATCGGCTGGAGAACAGGGGATGGTTGCACTTGGAGCACACGTACATTCCTGCAGGAGACAGTTAAAGGTTGGACCTTTGGAAAAAGACGCTTATTCAAATAATGTAATTAAAATAAATTAAGTTTTTTCCGTAGTTTTCTTTCGTTTTAGGCATTTGAAGCTGACACACTACACAGTACACATACCCACAAGCCTAAAAAAAAGTTTTCCAGTTAGTTACATGTTGAACAAGTTGCCCGTTTAAAAAAACTAAAATCACAAATGCAGAGTTACCGCGACGCTACAGAGGAGCGGTGTAATAGGAATGGATACAGAATACAGAAAGCTTTTATTGCCAAGTGAGCTCGGACACACAAGGAGTTTGACATGGTGAATGAAACTGTGGTACACACAATAACAAGACAGGCAATAAATATAGAAATGTAAGTAAAACAAAAATCTAAATATAATATTATATGTAAAAGAAAAGTATAAAAGTCCTATATAAATAAAAAAAGAACTGTAAAAGAGACATTAACTTGCCAAAAAGAAGTAAAAAGTAGGTTAATAAGTCAGTAATGTATGCTTATACATATACTGCTGCAAAGGCCTTTTTCAGCTGAAGACATTAACAACGGTTACATGATTTTAATGACAATGAGAAGAGATCACAACTTTATAGTTTGTGCTAAAAATGAGATGTTGTTCTGAAACTGTATAAATGCTTTGTTTTTAATCACAAGCATCGGTGAGAGAAGAAGAATTCACAACCAATACATCATCCAAAACAACGTAAAAATATTCTAATTCAGGTAATTAAAGTCGTACTTTAGCAAAACTACACACTTATTAGCAGCAAAATATAGTTAAAGTATCGAAGTAAAAGCACTATTTTGGTCCCTCTGACTGATTTATTATTATATTCGGCATCATTAGATTATTAATAGTGAAGCATCAGTTTGTCAGCTGCAGGTGGAGCTGGTTTAAACGACTTTATACAGTTTTTTTTTTTTAATGTACAGGGACAGCCGATCAATCTGAGGCATAATCAGATGATGAATGAGAGAGAAAAGAAGAAGAATAGAGTTCTAATACACAAATCTGATTTTAGTTTATGAACATATTCTAGATATTGGATCATATTCCGTGTTATTAGAACATACATTAAAATGTGAGAAGTTCAGAGGGAAAGATGGCTGTTTATGTGAACAATTACATTATGAATAAACACAGATGTTTGTAAAAAGCCATACAGTATGGGAAAACTTTCATCTTTAATCACATTATATTATTTATTATGTAAAAACTTCACATTGTTGGCATTTAAACAGTCAGATAAATGTATTGTAGTATACAGTGGTAGTATAAATTAGCATACAATGGAAGTTTTCGAGTAAAGTGCCTCAAAGTAGTACTTAAGTAGAATACTTGAGTAAATGTACTTAGTTACTTTCCACCACTGGCTATTAACATTATTAATATTGCTGCTTATTACTTGTTGCTTTCATTACCTACTTATTCTATTGGATGCTTCACTTTAAACATGAAAAATGATAAAATAAAAATCCAGGTAAATTGACTTTAATCAGTTACTTGTGTTCACAGATTTTGCTCCATCACGTGTCCTTCACCTGCACACCGTCACTGTGATGCTTTACACTATTTACATCCCCATTTACTATGATTACAAAACTGGATTTTATCATGAAAAACTGTGCCTGAAACAAACCCTGAAATAAGTGAAGTGCAATCCCTGAAATACGAGCAAAACGTGAATTTGATCCTCCCTAATCCAGACTAAGGGCAGGTTACATCACATCACTGTTTACTGAATCGCTCACCTGGTTTGAAATGATCCTTGTAGATCTCACCGCCGAGAAACTGACAGAAAGACATGGCGGTGTGTCGGCAGATCAGCTGGAGGCAGCAGCAACAAAAAACAGATATCAAATCCGACTCAATCTCTTATGCAAACGCTGGATAGATGAGCGTTTGTCTGCTGTTCTCGTGTGAAGTGATCCTGGTTGGAGATTTAAAGGGGAGCTCCGCCCACTGCAGTTACCAGCTGCCACCGCTAGATGTCAGTGTTTACCAGCAGGAGGCGCTGAGGAGGTTGAAGGACCACTGGACAAAGGCTCAGATACAGCAACAATTCACAATATTCACTCAAATAACTAGAAACTGAAAAAAGTAATAATAAATAATTTTTTCCTAAATTCTAATTTAGTGATATAAGGCACTGCTTTTGAATTATGAATGACAAGAATAATTTAAAAAAAAAAAAAAAAACTTTTTTTTTTAGAGCACTTTGCTGATGAGCAGTCAGCCAAAATCAAAACACCTTTCAACAGGTGCAGAAGTCTGATTGAGAGCTACAGAAAACACTTGATTGCAGTGATTGGCTCAAAGGGTTGTTCAACAAAATATTAGTTTATGGGTCCCATCATGCTTGTTTTGTTGTTGTTTTTTTTTTTATTTTATTTTAAATATTTCTGTTGAACCACAATTCAAAATCAATGTCATGATTTCTATTACATTTTTATCTATTATTACTTTTTTAAATTTCAACTTAATTCAGTGACAGCTGTTTTTTTCCTTCTTTAATGGGAGGCTATGAATACATTTGAGGACGACTGTAAAACAGATTAACTATGTGTGATTCACAAAGATAAACATGATGGAATCAGAGCATCAACATTTGAATTGTCATCAGGTTACACTTAAACTGGTTCATTTACAGTTGAGTGAAGGCTTTTACCTACATACAAGCAACCAGTTTAGTTCAGTTTTAAGAATATGGCAATGTTTTATTTATTTGTGATGCTCCAAAAAGAAAGAAATCAGTAAATATCTTATTGTCTGTGGAGCAGCTTCAAGATTTGTCTTTAGATCACACCCTGTCTCATTTTATCCATAAGAAAAGACTTGCTCCACTTGAAATACTAGCTGAACGAGCCTGTTGTCAGGCTCATTTCACTATAGCCATGCATTTTGTATCTTGTTTTATTTTTTATTTTTTTCAGAACAGTCCAGGCTGCCCAGATCTTCCATCTTCAGATTTATTTTATAGAAGCCTTTTTATGAGGAGGAAGACATTTCTTTTATGAAACTGTTATGTTTTTGCGTGTATCTCACTATCAAATATTGGCAGCAGAGATCGTTTTTATAACCGTGTTAGCAGGAAATGTCTGGAGTCTGAATATATTAGTACCAGAATATGTTCACACAATGCCTGATGGAGAAAAAAAAAGTCATTATATCATTTCCCGAAGTGTTCACACACAGTAGCCTTCTTGCAGAGGTGGCAAACCAGGTAAATGTGTCATACAAGAGTAATGGGTGTGGAGGTAGATGCACAGCTGGATGCAGGTTGGAACTATGCTTAAATATGATACGTATTTTAAAATAAAACAGACACACAACCAGGATAGTTGGAAAGGTCCAGATCTGCAGTTTGATATATGCCACTCCTTACTGCAAAAAACAAAAACAAAAAAGCCTTAAAAGCAAATCAACTGAGAATACAGGATGTGAATTTGGACACAAAAAGATTTTCTTAAGGGTTTTTTTTTTTTTTTCTTCATACAAAGTCCTGCATCTCTATGGAAACAGCACAACCATGACTACAAGTAGAGACTCAAACTGAAAAGTATTTTCTATGTAGTACAGCACAGTTAAATATCTGTTAACCCTATTCAGGACTTTCATGTTGCCATATGTAGAAGGTCTTTCAGGGTCCATTGGACTCCAAGAAAGAATATGTGCAAAATCCATCCATCCATCCATCCATTGTCTATACACCACCTAATCCTATGTTAAATACATTTTCTGATAAGTTGACATTGTTTTGGTTCCAAATGCATGACAAGTGTCCCTCTTTATGTAAAAAAAAAATCTTCAATGATAAAAAAACCAATACCTGTCACCTAAACCAAATGGCCTGGGGTCTGAAAGACCCCAAAAGCCCTGAATGGGGTTAATTGTTTAAAAAGAAAAAAGAAAAGAAAAGAAAAAAAAGGACAGAAAAAACAACAAAACTAGAATTTCTTTGATTATTTATTTTACAGAAAATAATAAAATTAAAAACCTGAATCAACATTCACAACATTTTTTCAAGTGCACACAGGTGTTACCATTGCCAGAAAAGAATGTAGCTCTACATGCTACAGATATTTCACTGCTTAGGTTTTGAATTTGTTTCCTTATATCTCTTCTCTCTGCTTGGTGTAAACACAGCCTGCAGTTCATTTGAAAATGCTCTGGATTTTTGCTAAGCAGCTGCTGGTCTTAGCTGAGTCCCTCATCTCAGAGTCTATTTCACGCAAAGGCTTTATTTGTGGATATTTTTTAAATGAGACATGTCGAATGAAGTTATTTTAAACAATTGTTGTGATTTTAAGCTGAGACTTGGTTAATTTTCCGTAGTTCAAGGACCATCCGAAAGTTGAAAATCCAACAATTTGTTTCTGTTCTTACTGTGTCTGGCTCTGATAACTTGCGGAATTTGGTGATTTAAAAAAACAAAAACACTATTCACACATGCTGGTAGGATTT